AAAGGGGTCTTCATTTTTCCTTCCTGCTGAGAGTCCAGGTTCTTTTTTTTAATTAAGGCTTTTGCCATGCATCACCTCTTCAACAAAAAGTTTTCCTGACATCTCATCAAAAAACAATGTTTTCCGATGGGATCTATATGGTAGCGAAAATTCAAATCCTCCCTTAAAAGACGCCCATTCCAGTGTTTGGCCCCGGGGCCCCCCTTTCCCCTTGCCGGAAGGGGTTTAAGCTGCCCTTTATAAAAATGTATTTTGAAAAACTTGTTTTGTACAATGCCAGAATATGAAATTTGTTGATTTGATGCCAGTTGCCGTGTCTTTTGCAGCGACTTTAATTTAGTTCCCGAAATTTCTGCACTGCTATAGTGACTACAGTGAATTGAGCCAGAGTAACAGGTAAACCGCCTCGGTTCTGTTCCCCTCCATGTTCTTTTCAGAATGATGCTTTTTTCCCGCAAGTCTTTTAGACCCTTCTGTCTAATTTGTTCTATTATCTTTCATTTATGTAAATGTCACATAAGAGAAGCAAAACTTGTCAAAATCATTTTTTTCACTGCAATCTTTTAAAAGTAGTGGGCTTGAATGAAGGCCTTGATCCCCTTTTTTTCCGTTTCGTGAAAATTTTGCCAAATGTTTTCCTGTTTGGGCCTTCGGCCGGATTTTTTGGGGATCTCGTGTTGCTTTTGCACTCCACTGCCACATATCTGAGCAATATGCTGTAGTGATCATACAGTCACCGCGCTGGGCGATAAAATCCCGGTCAACTGCTTTTGGGGAAGCATCTATGCTCACCACTATAACAAATGCACGGGCCTTTATTGCTGTGTCCAGCGCTCTGTTTGGAATGACTTTGAGCCACATCACCTTTCACCTCGGTAGTGTTACATCTGTTCTAGAGATGTGATCTGATTCATACAAAATGCCGATCTTCAATTCCTGGATTGCTACTTCAGTTGCAGTTTAGTTTGAAATCCAGGTTCTATTTTTTAGAATTCACCATTGCTCTTTACAATGCAATTTGCGCGCTTGCCCGAGTCTGTTTTACTTGACGTGTCATTATAAGACTGTGTGGTTTCAGCTTGGGAGCATAATGGCAGCAGAGGATTGAACCCTGCGAAGAGACTGGAGCCTTAATCCAGCGCCTTGGACCGCTCGGCCATGCTACCCTTCGCTATGAATTGTACTGCTTCCTTTCACTGGGGATGTATCTTAAATGTATTGTGGCAAATTCTATGCGTACAGTGCTGTATTCGTAAAATTGGTCTTTATTTAAAGTGTCATTTTCTGTGCTTTTTTGCAGAATTTGAGTTTGGTTTGCATTCATGGATTTTATCGCCAGCTGTTATTTATCTACAGTGTGAATTTCTAAGATTGAACTAGGCAACAGCAGCAGGTAAATATATCTAGTGTCCGAGACCTCTCACACTGTTCTTTGTCAATGATGTTTTTCTTTGTGTTAGTCTGCTGGATACTTGTCACTGATTTGTATTAATTTTCTTTTCCTCATGTAAATGTTGCACCAAAAGAAGTATAAGTCAGAATTATCTTTGCTTACCGAAATCGGTCTAAAATACTGGACAATAATGAAAGCCTTGATTCCTTCTTTCGTAGGGTTTAGTAAGAGCGGAACACATTTTCTGCTGGTGTGGATTTCTTGGTCAGGTTTGAAGAGGGACTAGCATTGCACTAGTAATTGACTTTTCAGCAGACTAGCAAATAAACTTCTGAGCCTTTCGTTGGCGGAATCGAACCGGGTCAACTGCTTGGAAAGCAGCTATGCTTACCACTATACCACCAACGCCACAATATGGCATTGCGGCGTCAAATGCTGCTCTTTTCAACGACTTTGGTCCATATGAACTTTTACTTTCGGAGGTTATGTTACAGCTGTTCTCGGAATATGTTCTGTGCTTCCAGATACAAAAGGCATAGTCCTCAATTCCTGCATAAGGCGGTGCTTCATTTGTCCTTCCTCGTCTGAGAGTCCAGGTTCTATTTGTCTTTTAATTCACACCGGCTATTTGCCATGCAGTCAGCCTCTTCAATCAGCAAGCTCTTTAACCTGACATCTCATCATTAAAACGCAATGTTTTCCAGACTGGGATCTATATGGTAGCAGAAAGATTCAAATCCTCACCTTCAAAGAGACTGACTCCTTATTCCAGTGCTTTGGACCCTTCGCAGCTTCTCATTCCCTCTGCGAGCCTGGAAGGTCTTGAAGCTCGCCATTTATAAGAAATGTATTTTGAAAAACTTGTTTTGTACAATGCCAGGAATATGAAATTGTTGTTGATTTGAAGTGCCAGTTGCCGTGTACTTTTGCAGAAAACGACTTTAATTTAGTTCCACGCTGAAATTTCTGCACTGCTATAGTGACTACAGTGAATTGAGCCAGAGTAACAGGTAAACACGCCTCGAGTTCTGTTCCCTCCGACTGTTCTTTCAGAATGATGCTTTTTCCAGCAAGTCTTTTAGACCCTTCTGTCTAATTTGTTCTACTTATCTTTCATTTATGTAAATGTCACACTAAGAGAAGCAAAACTTGTCAAGATCATTTTTTTCACTGCAATCTTTTAAAAGTAGTGGGCTTGAATGAAGGCCTTGATCCCTTTTTTACCGTTTGGCGTGAAAATTTTGCCAAACGTTTTTCCTGTTGTGGGCCTTTCGGCCAGGATTTTAGAGGGATCTCGTGTTGCTTTTGCACTCCACTGCCCATATCTGAGCAATATGCTGTAGTGATCATACAGTCACCGCTGACAGAGTAATAACATCCAGGTCAACTGCTCGGAAGGCATCTATGCTCACCACTATACCACAAATGCACGGCCTTTTTGCCTGTGTCCACAGCTGCTGTTTGGAATGACTTTGAGCCACATCACCTTTCACCTCGGTAGTGTTACATCTGTTCTAGAGATGTGATCTGAACTTCATACACAAATGGCCAGTCTTCCCAAATTTCCCGGATTGCTACTTCAGTTGCAGTTTCGTTTGAGAGCCTTAATCCAGCGCCTTTGGGCCGCTTTGGCCATCTACCCTTGCTATGGGAAAAATACTGCTTCCTTTCACTGGGGATGTATCTTAAATGTATTGTGGGAAATTCTATGCGTACAGTGCTGTATTTGGACCTTCGTGCTTCCATTCCTCGAACCTGGAAGTCTTGAAGCTCGCCATTTATAAGAAATGTATTTTGAAAAACTTTGTTTTGTACAATGCAGGAATATGAAATTGTTGTTGATTTGGAAGTGCCAGTTGCCGTGTACTTTTGCAGAAACTTGACTTTTAATTTGGTTCACGCTGAAATTTCTGCACTGCTATAGTGACTACAGTGAATTGAGCCAGAGTAACAGGTAAACCGCCTCGTGTTCTGTTCCCTCCGGCTGTTCTTTCAGAATGATGCTTTTTTCAACAAGTCTTTTAGACCCTTCTGTCTAATTTGTTCTACTTATCTTTCATTTATGTAAATGTCACACTAAGAAGCAAAACTTGTCAAGGATCATTTTTTTCCTGCAATCTTTTTAAAAGTAAGTAAAATTTGAATGAGGCCTTGATCCCTTTTTTACGTTTTAGCGTGAAAATTTTTGCCAAATTTTTTCTGTTTGTGGGCCTTTCGGCCAGGATTTTTTTTGGGATCCTCGTGTTGCTTTTGCCTCCACTGGCACATATCTGGAGCAATATGCTGTAGTGACCATACAGTCACCCGCTGGGCGGTAATAACATCCAGGTCAACTGCTCCGGAAGGCATCTATACTCACCACTATACCACAAATGCACGGGCCTTGTTGCCTGTGTCCAAGCGCTGCTGTTTGGAATAACTTTTGAGCCACATACACCTTTCACCTCCGGTAGTGTTACATCTGTTCTAGAGATGTGATCTGAACTTCTCATACACAAAAGTGGCTGATCTTCAATTCTGGATTGCTACTTCAGTTGCAGTTTTAGTTTGAGAATTCAGGTTCTATTTTTTAGAATTCACCATTGCTCTTTACAATGCAATTCGGCCTTTGGCCAAGTCTTTTCCTTGACGTGTCATTATTAAGACTGTGTGGTTTTCAGCTTGGAGCATAATGGCAGCAGAGGATTCGAACCTCGCCCCGAAGAGACTGGAGCCTTAATCAGGCGCCATGGACCCTAAGCCATGCTACCCTTAGCTATGAATGTACTGCTTCCTTTCACTGGGGTTGTATCTTAAATGTATTGTAGCAAATTCTATGCGTGCAGTGCTGTATTCGTAAATTGGTCTTTATTTAAAGTGTCATTTTCTTTTTTGCAGAATTTGAGTTTGGTTTGCATTCATGGATTTTATCGCCAGCTGTTATTTATCTCTACAGTGTGAATTTCTAAGATTGAACTAGGCAACAGCAGCAGGTAAATATATCTAGTGTCCGAGACCTCTCACACTGTTCTTTATCAATGATGTTTTCTTTGTGTTAGTCTGCTGGATACTTGTCACTGATTTGTATTAATTTTCTTTTCTCATGTAAATGTTGCAAAAAGAAGTATAAATCAAGAATTATCTTTTGCTTACATAATCGGTCTAAAATACTGGACAATAATAAGCCTTGATTCACTTCTTCGTGGGTTTAGTAAAGGAGGAACACATTTCTGCTGGTGTATTTCTTGGTCAGGTTTGAAGAGGGACTAACATTGCACTACAGTAATTGACTTTTCAGCAGACTAGCAAATAAACTTCTAAAGCCTTTACGTTGACGGGGAATCAAAACGGGTCCCAACTGCTTGGAAAGCAACTATGCTTACCACTATACCACCAACGCCACAATATGGCATTGCAGGCGTCAAATGCTGCTCTTTTCAACGACTTTGGTCATATGAACTTTTTACTTTCTGGAGAGGTTATGTTACAGCTGTTCTCGGGAATATATTTCATGCTTCCAGATACAAAAAGGCATAGTCCTCAATTCCTGCATAAGGCGGTGCTTCATTTATCCTTCTCGTCTGAGTCAGGTTCTATTTGTCTTTATTCACACGCTATTATTTGCCCATGCAGTCAGCCTCTTCAATCAACAAGCTCTTTAACCTGACATCTCATCATTAAGCAATGTTTTTCCAGACTGGGATCTATATGGTAGCGAAAGATTCAAATCCTCACCTTCAAAGGGACTCCTTGTTCAGTGCTTTGGACCTTCGTGGCTTCTACCATTCCCTGCGGAGCCCTGGAAGGTCTTGAAGCTCGCCATTTTAAAATGTATTTTGAAAAACTTGTTTTGTACAATGCCAGGAATATGAAATTGTTGTTGATTTGAAGTGCCAGTTTGCCGTGTGCTTTTGCAAGCTTGACTTTAATTTAGTTCACGCTGGGAATTTCTGCACTGCTATAGTGACTACAGTGAATTGAGCCAGGTAACAGGTAAACAGCCTCGAGTTCTGTTCCTCCGACTGTTCTTTCAGAATGATGCTTTTTCAGCAAGTCTTTTAGACCCTTCTGTCTAATTTGTTCTCTTATCTTTCATTTATGTAAATGTCACTAAGAGAAGCAAAACTTGTCAAGATCATTTTTTCCTGCAATCCTTTTAAAAAGTAGTGGGCTTGAATGAAGGCCTTGATCCTTTTTTTTTACCGTGAACGTTTTGCCAAACGTTTTTCCTGTTGTGGGCCTTTCGGCCCGGGATTTTAGAAAGGATCTCGTGTTGCTTTTGCACTCCACTGGCCACATCTGAGCAATATGCTGTAGTGATCATACAGTCACAGCTGGGGTGTTAATAACATCAGGTCAACTGCTTTCAGGAAGGCATCTATGCTCACCACTATACAAATGCACCGGGCCTTTTTGCTGTGTCCCAGCGCTGCTGTTTGGAATGACTTTGAGCCACATCACCTTTTTCACCTCGATGATGTTACATCTGTTCTAGAAGAGATGTAATCTGAACTTCATACACAAATGGCCCAGTCTTCAATTCCTGGATTGCTTTCGCAAATTTGCAGTTTCGTTTGAGAGTCCTGGTTCTATTTTTTAGAATTCACCATTGCTCTTTACAATGCAATTGCGGCGCTTTGGCCAAGTCTTTTTTCTTGGCGTGTCATTATTAAGGCTGTGTGGTTTTCAGCTTGGGAGCATAATGGCAGCAGAGGATTGAACCCTCGCCCGAAAGACTGGGCCTTAATCAGCGCCTTAAGGACTGCCGGCCATGCTACCCTTCGCTATAATTGTACTGCTTCCTTTCACTGGGATGTATCTTAAATGTATTGTGGCAAATTCTTACGTACAGTGCTGTATTCGTAAATTGGTCTTTGTTTAAAGTGTCATTTTCTATGCTTTTGCAGAATTTGGGTTTGGTTTTGCATTCATGGATTTTATCGTCGGCTATTTATTTTATCTGCAGTGTGAGATTTCTAAAGATTGAACTAGGCAACAGCAGCAGGTAAATATATCTAGTGTCGAGACCTCTCACACTGTTCTTTGTCAATGATGTTTTTCTTTGTGTTAGTCTGCTGGGATACTTGTCACTGATTTGTATTAATTTTCTTTTCCTCATGTAAATGTTGCACCAAAAATATAAAGTCAGAATTATCTTTGCTTACACTTGTCGGTCTAAAATACTGGACAATAATGAAACCTTGATTCGCTTCTTTCGTGGGGTTTAATGAGAGCGGAACACATTTTTCTGCTGGCGTGGATTTCTTGGTCAGGTTTGAAGGGGGACTAGCGTGCACTACTGTAATTGACTTTTTCAGCAGACTAGCAAATAAACTTCTGAGCCTTTCGTTGACGGGAATTGAACCGGGTCAACTGCTTGGAAGACAACTATACTTACCACTATACCACCAACAATATGGCATTGCAGGCGTCAAATGCTACTCTTTTTCACGCTTTGGGTCATATGAACTTTTACTTTCTGGAGGGTTATGTTACAGCTGTTCTCCGGAATATGTTCTGTGCTTCAGATACAAAGAGCATAGTCCTCAATTCCTGCATAAAGGCGGTGCTTCATTTGTCCTTCCTCGTCTGAGAGTCCAGGTTCTATTGTCTTTTTAATTCACACCTGGCTATTTGCCATGCAGTCCAGCCTCTTCAATCCTTAAGCTCTTTAACCTGACATCTCATCATTAAAACGCAATGTTTTCCAGACTGGGATCTATATGGTAGCAGAAAGATTCAAATCCTCACCTTCAGGGGGACTGACTCCTTATTCAGTGCTTTGGATCCTTCATTAGCTTCTGCATTCCTCTTGAGACCTGGAAGATCTTAGGCTTCGCCGTTTATAAAAATGTATTTTTGAAAAACTTGTTTTTGTGTACAATACCAGGAATATGAAATTGTTGTTGATTTGATGCCAGTTGCCGTGTCCACTTTTTGCGAAAACGACTTTTAATTTAGTTCCATGAAATTTCTGCACTGCTATAGTATTTCTGATGAATTAAGGCCAGGTAACAGGTAAACACGCCGGGAGTTCTGTTCCCCCTCGAATGTTCTTTCAGAATGATGCTTTTCCATAAGTCTTTTGGGCCCTTCTGTCTAATTTGTTCTACTTATCTTTCATTTTGTAAATGTCACACTAAAACAAAACTTGTCAAGATCATTTTTTCACTGCAATCTTTTAAAAGTAGTGGGCAGATGAGGCCTTGATCCTTTTTGCCGTTTTGATGAAAAAATTTTGCCAAAATGTTTTCCCTGTTGTGGGCCTTTTTCGTGGGATTTAGAGGGATCTCGTGTTGCTTTTGCACTCCACTGCCACATATCTGAGCAATATGCTGTAGTGATCATACAGTCACCGCGCTGGACAGTAATAACATCAGGTCAACTGCTCCGGAAGGCATCTATGCTCACCACTATACCACAAATGCACCGGGCTTTTATTGCCTGTGTCCGCGCTGCTGTTATTTGGAATGACTTTGAGCCACATCACCTTTCACCTCGGTAGTGTTACATCTGTTCTAGAGATGTGATCTGAACTTCGCCACAAATGGCCAGTCTTCAATTCCTGGTTGCTACTTCAGTTGCAGTTTCGTTTGAGAGTGCAGGTTCTATTTTTTTAAATTCACCATTGCTCTTTACGATGCAATTCTTGGCGCTTGGCGAGAGTCTTTTTCCTTGGCGTGTCATTGTATTAAAGACTGTGTGGTTTTTTCAGCAGGAGCATAATGGCAGCAGAGGATTGAACCCTGCCCCCAAAGAGACTGGAGCCTTAATCGCGCCTTGGACCTTTCGGCCATGCTACCCTTAGCTATAAATGTACTGCTTCCTTTCACTGGGGATGTATCTTAAATGCATTGTGGCAAATTCTATGCGTACAGTGCTGTATTCGTAAAAATTGGTTTTTATTTAAAGTGTCATTTTCTGTGCTTTTTGCAGAATTTGAGTTTGTTTTGCATTCATGGATTTTTATCGTCAGCTGTTATTTATCTACAGTGTGAATTTCTAAAAGATTGAACTGAAACCCAACAGCAGCAGGTAAATATATCTAGTGTCGAGACCTCTCCACTGTTCTTTGTCAATGATGTTTTTCTTTGTGTTAGTCTGCTGGATACTTGTCGCATTTTATTAATTTTTCTTATCCTCATATAAATGTTGCACCAAAAAAGTATAAAGTCAAATTATCTTTGTACGCAATCGGTCTAAAAATACTGGACAATAATGAAAGCCTTGATTCCTTCTTTCGTAGGGTTTAGTAAGAGCGGAACACATTTTCTGCTGGTGTGGATTTCTTGGTCAGGTTTGAAGGGGACTAACATTACTACAGTAATTGACTTTTCAGCAGACCAGCAAATAAACTTCAGGCCTTTCGTTGGCGGGAATCGATCCCCGGTCAACTGCTTGAAAACCTTATACTTACCACTATACCAGCGCCTGCAATATGGCATTGCAGGCGTCAACTTCTGCTCTTTTCAACGACTTTGGTCCATATGCCAGACTTTTTACTTTCGGAGAGGGATTTATATTGCAGCTGTTCTCGAATATATGTTCTGTGCCTTCAGATACAAAAGGCATAGTCCCCAATTCCTGCATTGGCGGTGCTTCATTTGTCCTTTCTCGTCTGAGAGTCAGGTTCTGTTGTCTTTTAATTCACGGCTATTTGCCATACCAGTCAGCCTCTTCAATCAACAAGCTCTTTAACCTGACATCTCATCATTAAAAACCAATGTTTTCCAGACTGGGATCCTATATAGTATGAAAAGGTTATTCAAATCCTCACCTTCAAAGGACGCTCCTTATTCCAGTGCTTTGGACCTTCGTAGCTTCTGCCATTCTCGCGGGCCTGGAAGGTCTTGAAGCTCGCCATTTATAAATGTATTTTGAAAAACTTGTTTGTTACAATGCCAGGAATATGAAATTGTTGTTGATTTAGTGCCAGTTGCCGTGTACTTTTGAAAACGACTTTAATTTAGTTCCACAGAAATTTCTGCACTGCTATAGTGACTACAGTGAATTGAGCCAGAGTAACTGGGTAAACACGCCTCGAGTTCTGTTCCCCTCGAATGTTCTTTCAGAATGATGCTTTTTCAGCAAGTCTTTTGGGCCCTTCTGTCTAATTTGTTCTACTTATCTTTCATTTATGTAAATGTCACCTAGAAGAAGCAAAACTTGTCAAGATCATTTTTTTCCTGCAATCTTTTTAAAAGTAGTGGAAGCGAATGAAGGCCTTGATCCTTTTTTACGTTTAGCGTGAAAAATTTTGCCAAATGTTTTTCCTGTTTGTGGGCCTTGTTGAGATTTTAGAGGGGATCTCGTGTTGCTTTTGCACTCCACTGCATATCTGAGCAATATGCTGTGGTGATCATACAGTCACCAGCTGGGCCAGTATTAATAACATCAGGTCAACTGCTCGGAAGGCATCTGTGCTCACCACTATACCACAAATGCACCGGGCCTTTGGCCCGCACCTGTGTCCAACGCTGCTGTTTGGAATGACTTTGAGCCACATCACCTTTCACCCTCGGTAGTGTTACATCTGTTCTAGATGTGATCTGAACTTCATGCACAAATGGCCAGTCTTCAATTCCTGGATTGCTACTTCAGTTGCAGTTTAGTTTGAGAGTCAGGTTCTATTTTTTAGAATTCACCATTGCTCTTTACACAATGCAATTCTTGGCCTTTGGCCCAAGTCTTTCATGCCAGCGTGTCATTATTAAGACTGTGTGGTTTTCAGCAGGGCATAATGGGCAGAGGATTGAACCTAGCCCCCCAGAAGACTGGGCCATAATCCAGCGCCTTGGACCCGCTCGGCCATGCTACCCTTAGCTATAGAAATGTGCTGCTTCCTTTTCACTGGGGATGTATCTTAAATGCATTGTGCTTAAATTCTATCCGTGCAGTGCTGTATTCGTAAATTGGTTTTTTATTTAAGTGTCATTTTCATGCTTTTTGCAGGGTGAGTTTGGTTTGCATTCATGGATTTTATCGTCAGCTGTTATTTTATCTGATGTGAATTTCTAAGATTGAACTACAGGCAACAGCAGAGTAAATATATCTAGTGTCCGAGACCTCTCACACTGTTCTTTGTCAATATTTTTTCTTTGTGTTAGTCTGCTGGGATACTTGTCACTGATTTGTATTAATTTTCTTTTCTCATGTAAATGTTGCACCAAAAGAAATATAAATCAAATTATCTTTGCTTACCACAATGGTCTAAATACTGGACAATAATAAGCTGATTCCTTGATTCGCTTCTTTCGTGAAAGGTTTAATTAAAAGCGGAACACATTTTCTGCTGGTGTGGATTTCTTGGTCGGGTTTTGAAAAGGGGGACTAGCATTGCACTACTGTAATTGACTTTTCAGCAGACTAGCAAATAAACTGAGGCACTTTCGCGTTGACGGGAGAATTGAACCGGATCAACTGCTTGGAAAATATGCTTCACCACTATACCACCAACGCTGCAATATGGCATTGCAGGCGTCAACTGCTGCTCTTTTCCGCGACTTTGGTCCATGAACTTTACTTTCGGAGGGAGTTATGTTACTGGCTGTTCTCGGAATATGTTCTGTGCTTCAGATACAAAAGGCAGTCCTCAATTCCTGCATAAGAGGAGGATTGCATTTGTCCTTCCCTCGTCTGAGAGTCCAGGTTCTGTTTTGTCTTTTTAATTCACCGGCTATTTGCCTGCAGTCAGCCCCTCTTCAATCCTTCAAGCTCTTTAACCTGACATCTCTGTCATTAAAACTACCAATGTTTTCAGCTGGGATCTATATGGTAGCAGAAAGATTCAAATCCTCACCTTCAAAGACTGACTCCTTTCCAGTGCTTTGGACCCTTCGGCCAGCTACCATTCCCCTGCCAGGCCTGGAAGGTCTTGAGCTCGCCATTTATAAAAATGTATTTTGGCTTGTTTTGTACAATGCCAGGAATATGAAATTGTTGTTGATTTGAAGTGCCAGTTTGCGTGTACTTTTGCAGAAAACGACTTTTAATTTTAGTTCACGCTGAAATTTCTGCACTGCTATAGTGACTACAAGTAGATTGAGCCAGAGTAACAGGTAAACACGCCTCGTGTTCTGTTTCCCCTCCGACTATTCTTTCAGAATGATGCTTTTTCAGCAAGTCTTTTAGACCCTTCTGTCTAAATTTATTTCTACTTATCTTTTCATTTTATGTAAATGTCACTAAGAAAACAAAACTTGTCAAGATCATTTTTTTCACTGCAATCTTTACCCCAAAAAGTAGTGGGCTTGAATGAAGGCCTTGATCCCTTTTTTTTACCGTTTGGCGTGAAAATTTTGCCCAAATGTTTTTTCCTGTTGTGGGCCTTTTAGCCCAGGATTTTTAGGGATCTCGTGTTGCTTTTGCACTCCTGCCACATATCTGAGCAATATGCTGTGGTGATCATACAGTCACCGCTGGGCCATTAATAACATCAGGTCAACTACTTTCCGGAAGGCATCTATGCTCACCACTATACCACAAATACGGGCCTTTGTGCCTGTGTCAACGCTGCTGTTTGGAATAACTTTGAGCCCCATCACCTTTCACCTTGGTCTTTACATCTGTTCTGGGGATTGATCACGAACTTCATACACAAATGGCTGATCTTCAATTCCTGGTTACTACTTCAGTTGCAGTTTTCGTTTTGAGTCAGGTTCTATTTTTTTAAATTCACCATTGCTCTTTACAATGCAATTCTTGGCGCTTCGGCCAGTCTTTTTTCTTGGCGTGTCATTATTAAAACTGTGTGGTTTTCAGCTTGGGAGCATAATGGCGCAGAGGATTCAGAACCCTCGCCCCAAGGGGACTGAGCCTTAATCCAGCGCCCTTGGACACTCGGCCATGCTACCCCTTCGCTATAGAATGTACTGCTTCCTTTCACTGGGGATGTATCTTAAATGCATTGTGGCAAATTCTATAAATACAGTGCTGTATAAATAAAATTGGGTCTTTATTTAAAAGTGTCATTTTCTGTGCTTTTTTGCAGAATTTGAGTTTGGTTTGCATTCATGGATTTTATAGTCGGCTGTTATTTATCTACAGTGTTAATTTCTAAGATTAGACTAGGCAACAGCAGGGTAAATATATCTAATTGTCAGGACCTCTCCACACTGTTCTTTGTCAATGATGTTTTTCTTTGTGTTAGTCTGCTGGATACTTGTCACTGATTTGTATTAATTTTCTTTTCCTCATGTAAATGTTGCGCAAAAAATTATAAGTCAGGAATTATCTTTGCTTACATAATCGGTCTAAAATACTGGACAATATTGAAAGCCTTGATTCCTTCTTTCGTAGGGTTTAGTAGAGAAGCGGAACACATTTTCTGCTGGTGTGGATTTCTTGGTCAGGTTTGAAGGGGCTAACGTGCACTACAGTAATTGACTTTTTCAGCAGACTAGCAAATAAGCTTTGCACCTTTGCATTGGCGGGAACGAACCGGGTCAACTGCTTGGGGCGCTATGTACCACTATACCTGCGCGCCCAATATGGCATTGCAGGCGTCCTGCTGCTCTTTTCAACGACTTTTGGTCATATGAACTTTACTTTCGGAGAGGTTATGTACAGCTGTTCTCGGAATATGTTCTGTGCTTCAGATACAAAAGGCATAGTCTCAATTCCTGCATAAAGGCGGTGCTTCATTTTGTCCTTCCTCGTCTGAGAGTCCAGGTTCTATTTGTCTTTTAATTCACAGCTATTTGCCATGCAGTCCCTCTTCAATCAGCAAGCTCTTTAACCTGACATCTCATCATTAAAAGCGCCAATGTTTTCCAGACTGGGATCTATATGGTAGCGAAAGATTCAAATCCTCACCTTCAAAAGAGACTGACTCCTTATTCCAGTGCTTCGGACCACTTCAGCCAAACTACCATTCCCTGCAGACCTGGAAGGTCTTGAAGCTCGCCATTTATAAAATGTATTTTTGAAAAACTTGTTTTGTGCTAATGCCAGGAATATGAAATTGTTGTTGATTTGAAGTGCCAGTTGCGTGTGCTTTTTGCAAAACGACTTTAATTTAGTTCACGCTGAAATTTCTGCACTGCTATAGTGACTACAGTGAATTGAGCCAGGTAACAGGTAAGCACGCCTCCAGGTTCTAATACCTCGACTGTTCTTTCAGGCTGATGCTTTTTCCAGCAAGTCTTTTTAGACCCTTCTGTCTAATTTGTTCTACTTATCTTTAATTTATGTAAATGTCACACTAAAGAAGCAAAACTTGTCAAGATCATTTTTTCTGCAATCTTTAAAAAGTAGTAGGCTTGAATGAAGGCCTTGATCCTTTTTTTACCGTTTGGCGTGAAATTTTTGCCAAATGTTTTTTTTCCTGTTGTGGGCCTTTCGGCCGGGATTTTAGAGGGGATCTCGTTTTTTTGCACTCCACTGGACATATCTGAGCAATATGCTGTAGTGATCATACAGTCACGGCGCTGGATGGTAATAACATCAGGTCAACTGCTTTCGGAAGGGGCATCTATGCTCACCCTATACCACAAATGCTGCAGACCTTTATTGCCTGTGTCCGCGCTGCTTTGGAATGACTTTGAGCCATCACCTTTCACCTCGGTAGTGTTACATCTGTTCTGGAGATGTGATCTAGACTTCATACAAATGGCCCGATCTTCAATTCTGGATTGCTATGCTTCAGTTGCAGTTTCGTTTAAAGTCAGGTTCTATTTTTTAAATTACCATTGCTCTTTTACAATGCAATTCTTGGCTTTGGCCCCAGTCTTTTCACTTGACGTGTCATTATTAAGACTGTGTGGTTTCAGCTTGGGAGCATAATGGCAGCAGAGGATTCGAACCCTCGCCCCGAAAGACTGGAGCCTTAATCCAGCGCCTTGGACCGCTTTCGACCATGCTACCCTTCGCTATGAAATGCTGCTTCCTTTCACTGAGGGGATGTATCTTAAATGTATTGTGGCAAATTCTATACGTACAGTGCTGTGATAGTAAAATTGGTCTTTATTTAAAGTGTCATTTTCTGTGCTTTTTGCAGAATTTGAGTTTGGTTTTGCATTCATATTTTATACGTCAGCTGTTATTTATCTACAGTGTTGAATTTCTAAGATTGAACTAGGCAACAACGGCACGGTAAATATATCTAGTGTCGAGACCTCTCACACTGTTCTTTGTCAATGATGTTTTCTTTGTGTTAGTCTGCTGGATACTTGTCACTGATTTGTATTAATTTTCTTTTCCTCATGTAAATGTTGCACCAAAGTATAATCAAATATCTTTGCCCCACCTTACATAATCGGTCTAAAATACTGGACAATAATGAAAGCCTTGATTCCTTCTTTAGTAGGGTTTAGTAAAATGAACACATTTTTCTGCTGGTGTGGATTTCTTGGTCGGGTTTGAAGAGGGGGACTAGCATTGCACTACAGTAATTGACTTTTCAGCAGACCTTAAAATAAACTTCTGAGCCTTTGCGTTGGGGAGATTGAACCGGGGTCAACTGCTTGGAAAACAGCTATGCTTACCACTATACCTCCTGACCACAATATTGCATTGCAGGCGTCAACTGCTGCTCTTTTTCAGCGACTTTGGTCCATATGAACTTTTACTTTCCGGAGGTTATTTATGTTACAGTTTCTCGGAATATGTTCTGTGCTTCAGATACAAGGGCATAGTCTCCAATTCCTGCATAAGGCGATTGCTTCATTTGTCCTTCCCTCGTCTGAGAGTCCAGGTTCTGTTTATTCTTTTAATTCACACGGCTATTTGCCATGCAGTCAACCCCTCTTCAATCAGCAAGCTCTTTAACCTGACATCTCATCATTAAAACGCAATGTTTTTTGAGACTGGGATCTATATGGTAGCAAAGATCAAATCCTCACCTTCAAAGAGACGACTCCTTATTCCAGTGCTTTGGACCCGCCCGGTGGCTTCTGCATTCCCTCAGGCCTGGAAGTCTTGAAGCTCGCCATTTATAAGAAATGTATTTTTGAAAAACTTTGTTTTGTACAATGCCAGAATATGAAATTATTGTTGATTTAAAGTGCCAGTTGCTGTTGTACTTTTGCAGAAAAACGACTTTAATTTAGTTCACGCTGAAATTTCTGCTTTCACTATAGTGACTACAGTGAATTGAGCCAGAGTAACAGGTAAACACGCCTCGGGAGTTCTGTTCCCTCGACTGTTCTTTCAGAATGATGCTTTTTTCCACAAGTCTTTTAGACCCTTCTGTCTAATTTGTTACCTTATCTTTCATTTATGTAAATGTCACCTAAGAGAAAGCAAAACTTGTCAAGATCATTTTTTCTACAATCTTTTTAAAAGTAGTAGGCTTGAATAAGGCCTTGATCCCCTTTTTTACCGTTTTGGCGGTGAAAATTTGCCCAAATGTTTTTTCCTGTTGTGGGCCTTTTGGCCAGGATTTTTAGAGGGATCTCGTGTTGCTTTTTGCACTCCACTGCACATATCTGAACAATATGCCTTGTGATCATACAGTCACCGCTGGACAAAGTAATAACATCCAGGTCAACTCTTTCGGAAGGCATCTATGCTCACCACTATACCACAAATACACGGGCCTTTGTGCCTGTGTCCCACTTCTGCTGTTTGGAATGACTTTGAGCCACATCACCCTTTCACCAATGAGTGTTACATCTGTTTCTAGAGATGTGATCTGAACTTCATACAAATGGCTGATCTTTTCAATTCCTGGATTGCTACTTCAGTTGCAGTTTCGTTTTGAAGTCAGGTTCTATTTTTTAAAATTCACCATTGCTCTTTGTTGCAATTCTTGGCGGCCGAGTCTTTTTCATGAGCGTGTCATTATTAAGACTGTGGTTTTTCAGCTTAGGAGCATAATGGCAACAGAGGATTGAACCCTAGCCCCCGAAGACTGGAGCCTTAATCCAGCGCCTTGGACCGCTCGGCCATACTACCCTTAAGCTATGAAATGTATACTGCTTCCTTTCACTGGGGGATGTATCTTAAATGCATTGTAGCAAATTCTATCACGTACAGTGCTGTGATGATAAAATTGGTCTTCATTTAAAGTGTCATTTTCTGTGCTTTTTTGCAGAATTTGAGTTTGGTTTTGCATTCATGGATTTTATCGTCAGCTGTTATTTATCTACAGTGTGAATTTCTAAAAGATTGAACAAGGCAACAGCAGCAGGTAAATATATCTAGTGTCGAGACCTCTCACTGTTCTTTGTCAATGATGTTTTCTTTGTGTTAGTCTGCTGGATACTTGTCACTGATTTGTATTAATTTTTTTTTCCTCATGTAAATGTTGCACCAAAAAGTATAAGTCAGAATTATCTTTACTTACATAATCGGTCTAAAATACTGGACAATAATAGAAAGCCTTGATTCCTTCTTCGTGGGGTTTAGTAGGCGGAACATTTTCTGCTGGTGTGGATTTCTTGGTCGGAGTTTGAAGAGGGACTAGCATTGCACTTTCAGTAATTGACTTTTCAGCAGACTAAAATAAACTTCTGAGCCTTTCGTTGGCTGGGAATCGAACCGGCTCAACTGCCTGGAAGAGCAACCACTATACCACTATACCCCGTAATAATATGGCAATGCAGGCGTCAACTGCCTGCTCTTTTCAGCGACTTTGGTCCATATGAACTTTTACGGAGGGATTTATGGCCCACAGCTGTTCTCGGAATATGTTTCTGTGCTTCAGATACAAAAAGGCATAATCCTCAATTCCTGCAGAAAGCGGGTGCTTCATTTGTCCTTCCATCGTCTGAGAGTCAGGTTCTATTTGTCTTTTAATTCACGGCTATTTGCCATGCAGTCAGCCCTCTTCAATCAGCAAAGCTCTTTAACCTGACATCTCATCATTAAAACATAATGTTTTCCAGACTGGGATCTATGGTAGCAAAGATTCAAATCCTCACCTTCAAAGACGGCTCTTATTCCAGTGCTTTGGACCCTTGACCAGCTTACCATTCCCTCGGAGCCTGGAAGGTCTTGAAGCTCGCCATTTAAGAAATGTATTTTGAAAAACTTGTTTTTGTACAATGCCGGAATATGAAATTTTGTTGATTTAAGTGCCGGTGCTGTGTACTTTTGCGAAAAACGACTTTTAATTTAGTTCCGCTGAAATTTCTGCACTGCTATAGTGACTACAGTGAATTGAGCCAGAGTAACAGGTAAACACGCCTCGAGTTCTGTTCCCCTCGACTATTTCTTTTTTCAGAATGATGCTTTTTTCCTTAAGTCTTTTGGAGCCACTTCTGTCCTAATTTGTTTCTACTTATCTTTCATTTATGTAAATGTCACACCTAGAAAAATAAAACTTGTCAAGATCATTTTTTTCCTGCAATCTTTTTAAAGTAGTGGGCTTTGAATGAGGCCTTGATCCTTTTTTTACCGTTTGACGTGAAAATTTTGCCAAATGTTTTTCTGTTGGTAGGCCTTTCGGCCAGGATTTTAGGGATCTCGTGTTGCTTTTGCACTCCACTGGCACACATCTGAGCAATATAACATGTAGTGATCATACAGTCCGCGCTGGGCCGGTAATAACATCCGGGTCAACTGCTCGGAAGGCATCTATGCTCACACTATACCACAAATGGAGACGCTTTATTGCCTGTGTCCACGCTGCTGTTTGGAATGACTTTGAGCCATCACCTTTGCCTCATTAGTGTTATCTGTTCTAGAATGTGATCTGAACTTCATACACAAAATGGCCCAGTCTTCAATTTACGGATTGCTACTTCAGTTGCAGTTTTCGTTTGAGTCAGGTTCCATTTTTTAGAATTCACCATTGCTCTTTACAAAAGTGCAATTGCGCTTTGGCCAAGTCTTTTTTCTTGGCGTGTCATTATTAAGACTGTGTGGTTTTCAGCTTGGGAGCATAATGGCGGCAGAGGGATTGAACCCTCGCCCCGAGGACTAGACTTAATCAGCGCCTTGGACACGCTCGGCCATGCTACCGCCGCTATGAGAATGTACTGCTTCCTTTCACTGGGGATGTATCATAAATGCATTTGTGGCAAATTCTGTCGTACCCAGTGCTGTATTCGTAAGTGGTCTTTATTTAAAGTGTCATTTTTCTGCATGCTTTTTGCAGAATTTGAGTTTGGTTTGCATTCATGGATTTTATCGTCAGCTGTTATTTATCTACAGTGTGAATTTCTAAGATTGAACTAGGCAACAGCAACGGTAAATATATCTAGTGTCGAGACCTCTCACACTGTTCTTTGTCAGTGTTTTTTCTTTGTGTTAGTCTGCTGGATACTTGTCACTGGTTGTATTAATTTTCTTTTTCCTCATGTAAATGTGCGCAAAAAAGTATAAGTCAGAATTATCTTTGCTTACCAATCAATTAAAATACTGGACAATAATAAGCCTTGATTCCTTCTTTCGTAGGGTTTAGTAAGAAGCGGAACACATTTTCTGCTGGTGTGGATTTTCTTGGTCGGGTTTGAAGAGGGGACTAACGTTACACTACTGTATTGGCTTTTCAGCAGACTAGCAAATAAACTTCTGGGCGCTGCGTTGGCTGGGTGAACAGACAGCTCAACTGGAAGGCTAGCTATACCACCACTATACCTGCATACGTAATAAGGCATTGCAGGCGTCAACTGCTACTCTTTTCAACGACTTTGGTCCATATGAACTTTTTACTTTCGGAGGGTTATGTTACAGCTGTTCTCGGGGATATGTTCTATGCTTCAGATACAAAACAGTCCTCAATTCCTGCAGAAGCGGTGCTTCATTTGTCCTTCCTCGTCTGAGAGTCAGGTTCTATTTGTCTTTTAATTCACGGCTATTTTGCCCATGCAGTCAGCCTCTTCAGTGGCAAGCTCTTTAACCTGACATCTCATCATTAAAACGCAATGTTTCCAGACTGGGATCTATATAGTAGCAGAAAGATTCAAATCCTCACCTTCAAAGACTGACTCCTTATTCCAGTGCTTTGGATTTTCGGCCAAGCTTACCATTCCCTCACCAGACCTGGAAGGTCCGAAGCTCGCCATTTATAAGAAATGTATTTGAAAAACTTGTTTTGTACAATGCCGGAATATGAAATTGTTGTTGATTTGAAGTGCCAGTTGCGTGTACTTTTGCAGAAAAGCGACTTTAATTTAGTTCCGCTGAAATTTCTGCACTGCTATAGTGACTTACAGTGGAATTGAATGAGTAACAGGTAAACCGCCTCGAGTTCTGTTCCCCTCGACTGTTCTTTCAAATGATGCTTTTTTCCAACAAGTCTTTTAGACCCTTCTCTAATTTGTTCTACTTATCTTTCATTTATGTAAATGTCACTAGAGAAGCAAAACTTGTCAAGATCATTTTTCACTGCAATCTTTTTAAAAGTGGTAGGCTTGAATGAAGGCCTTGATCCTTTTTTACCGTTGGCGTGAAAATTTTTGCCCAAATGTTTTCCTGTTGCCAGGCCTTTCGGCCAGGATTTTAGAGGGGATCTTGATATTTGCTTTTGCACTCCACTGCCACATATCTGGACCAATATGCTGTAGTGATCAGCCTGATCACGGCTGGGCCAGTAATAACATCAGGTAGCTGCTCGGAAGGCATCTATGCTCCACCACTATACCACAAATGCCGGGCCTTCGCCTGTGTCCAGCGCTGCTGTTTGGAATGACTTTTGAGCCCATCACCTTTTCACCTCCGGTAGTGTTACATCTGTTCTGGATGTGATCCTGAACTTCATACACAAATGGCCCAGTCTTCAATTCTGGATTGCTACTTCATTTGCAGTTTCGTTTTGATCCAGGTTCCATTTTTAAATTCACCATTGCTCTTTACAATGCAATTCTTGTAACCGGCCCGAGTCCTTTTTTCGACTTGTGTCATTATTAAGACTGTGTGGTTTTTCAGCTTGGGAGCATAATGGCAGCAGAGGATTGAACCACCGCCCCCGAAGACTAGCCCTTAATCAGCGCCAACGGACGCTCGGCCATGCTACCCTTCGCTATGAAATGTACTGCTTCCTTTCACTGGGGATGTATCTTAAATGCATTGTGGCAAATTCTATGCGTACAGTGCTGTATTCGTAAAATTGGTCTTTATTTAAAGTGTCATTTTCTGTGCTTTTTTGCAGAATTTGAGTTTGGTTTGCATTCATGGATTTTATCGTCAGCTGTTATTTATCTACAGTGTGAATTTCTAAGATTGAACTAGGCAACAGCAGCAGGTAAATATATCTAGTGTCCGAGACCTCTCACACTGTTCTTTGTCAATGATGTTTTTCTTTGTGTTAGTCTGCTGGATACTTGTCACTGATTTGTATTAATTTTCTTTTCTCATGTAAATGTTGCACCAAAAAAGTATAAGTCAATTATCTTTGCTTACATAATCGGTCTAAAATACTGGACAATAATAAGCCTTGATTCCTTCTTCGTGGGGTTTAGTAAGGCGGGTACACATTTTCTGCTGGTGTGGATTTCTTGGTCAGGTTTGAAGAGGACTAGCATTGCACTACAGTAATTGACTTTTCAAGCAGACAAGCAAATAAACTTCTGAGCCTTTGCGTTGGCGGGAATCGAACCCGGGTCAGCACTGGAAGGCAGCTATGCTCACCGCTATACCAACGCCACAATATCGCATTGCAGGCGTCAGCTGCTGCTCTTTTCAGCGACTTTTGGTCCACATAGACTTTTACCACTTTCCGGAGGTTATGTTACAGCTGTTCTCGGAATATGTTTCTGTGCTTCAGATACAAAGGCATAGTCCTCAATTCCTGCCAAAGCGGTGCTTCATTTGTCCTTCTCGTCTGAGAGTCCAGGTTCTATTTGTCTTTTAATTCACACGGCTGTTGCCCATGCAGTCAGCCTCTTCAATCAGCAAGCTCTTTAACCTGACATCTCATCATTAAAACAATGTTTTTCAGACTGGGATCTATATGGTATGAAAGATTCAAATCCCTCACCTTCTAAAAGACTGACTCCTTATTCCAGTGC